AGATTAGAGAGAAACTTTCCAACTAACAAAGGACACAAATAGTGCCTAACTGCAACATCTCGATAGAAAAAAAATATGATGGTGAAGTAATGATTGATGCTGGAATCCAATGACTAACCAGGAATCTTTGAAAGGGTTTCAGTACCGATTTATTTTGTAGTGTGCGCGTAGACCATGTGTATTCGGAGATGCACAGAGATCAGGCTCATGTTGATGTACTTTCAGATCACTTTCAGGTAAGATCTTTGCGCCTTGTTAGCACGGCAAGGAAGGATCAGCTTGTGAGGGCATTTACTGTGCCACTGATTAAGTAAGTTTATTCAGGTATACACAAATACAGTTACATAGAATTATCATACATAGCAGCATATGTGTAGAGAACCTAGGATAACCCAAAAAAGTCAGTGACTTATTTCCACTGGGGTCCTTTGCAGTATGTAGTGTGCTAGAGTCCTCACTGCGACTGGAGAAGTGAGTACTTAGGTGGTATCATTGATCGGCTGTATTCCAGGTAGGCCACCAGGCCCCCTACCACAGTGATATTCAGAGTAGTCCATATTCTTTCACAGTATTCTTCACTTTTTATAATCATAAATACAGTGGACCCCCGGTTAACGATATTTTTTCATTCCAGAAGTATGTTCAGGTGCCAGTACTGACCGAATTTGTTCCCATAAGGAATATTGTGAAGTAGATTAGTCCATTTGAGACCCCCAAACATACACGTACAAACGCACTCACATAAATACGCTTACATAATTGGTCGCATTGGGAGGTGATCGTTAAGCGGGGGTCCACTGTAATCAGTACCACCAAACATCAAATCATCTGAAGTAGTCAAACAGCACATCAGGAATGGGAGGTAATAAAATTTAATCAGTTCTTTGCATCTAGAGCTCTTTACCAGCATCAAGGCACTGTACCCATTTAAAAAGTGATTTAGGTGTAGGCAGTTAAAGAAGCAAATGAAAGAAATACACTAATAGTACAGTGATCTCTCGCTTTTTTGTAGTTCTCGGCAATCGTAAATTTTCGCCAATCATAGGGGTATTTTCGTATAAACATGGACTCGCTTTTCATAGGTTGATTCGCGAATAGTAATTCGTCCAGGACGCGTACGCACGGTGTGAGCCGGGGCGGCCTCCCTACCCAGCCAGTCTGGCATTGTTTACCAGTGAGTAAAGGTCCCCTCAAGTGCTCCTACGAAATATTTCATAATATTCCACTCATTTTAGTGCTTGCAATTACTAAATAAGCTACCATGGCTCCAAAGAAAGCTCCTAGTGCCAAGCCTGTGGTAAAGAAGGTGAGAAATATGTACAGTGACAGTCTTGGGCCATTTTTGGGAAGTGCTAAAGAGAGGCCAGAAACAGAGCTCTCTCCACAGTTACTTTGCGAGACAGGACTAGTGTGACTCTCAAGGTGGTCCTAGTGGCATTAAGAAACAGAGAAGAGAAGCAACCCCAGAGAAGCAATTGGTACCTGAGGTGTTGCTGGAAGGGGATTCCCCTTCCAAACTGTAAACATTCCAATCTCTCTCCTCCTCCAGTCTCCCATACACTGAGAAGAATCTCCAATAAAGGTAAGTGTTATGCTGTTAATGTTTCATTCATCATTTTCCATTGTATTGTTTATGTACTATATGTATATTTCGTGTAAAAAAATTTTTTGTTTTAACCCTTTGAGGGTCGACAGGCCCTCTCCGAAACTCGTTCTCAGGGTTGGCCAAATTTCAAAAAAAAAAAAAATTATTTTTTCTTATGAAAAAATAGTTTTTTTTTCCAAACATTATAGGCTAAACAAAAAAATTTTAACGTCAATACTTACCGAGATATGGAGGCGTGAATTTGCCAAAATTGAACAACATATGGTAACATCGCCGACTGCCGTCACCCGGTATTTCTCTATTTACTTTTTTATGTACTATTTTCAATTATTTTCAATTTTTCTTTTTCTGAGTAACTTTTATGGCCTCTGAGGCCAACATGATCAGTATTTTGTAAGTTATTTCTTTTTCAATACTACACAATAAGGGCATAAACACTGTTGTCATTATTTTGTTTACAGAAAATATTTACACAAACAAACGATATGAAATGTTGTTTATTACTATTTTTCTATATTTATATACACATATACAGTCACAGGGAATGTTTCTAGAAGTTCTGAAGCCTGGGGAACTCTTTGAAACATGGTGTCATGCACAATGGAGTTTTGCACTCCTCACACATAAAACGAGTGTCTCTGCGTTGTTGTTGTGCGTTTTTTTGTATGTGCACAGACGTAACACCTCTTCTGAGCCTTTTTCTTCAAAGCAGTAGCAGGCAGTTTTTACCAGGAAGTGATCACCATGCTTCAGACGAGCAGGTAGTTGTTGATAATTTGTGGGCGGTCAATTGCAGGTGCTGTTCCCTTTGGGTACTTGAATACTATTTGTCTGATGACAGACAAACAGAATTCGCCGTACTGTGGTTTGTTTCTGGTGCTCATCTTATACATATTATAAGCATTGAGCATGGAAATGTCCAGAAGATGGAAAAACAGTTTGATGTACCACTTATAACTCTTGCGAACACAATCAGCAAACCCAATCTGCATGTCACATTTGTCCACTGAATGCATGTTGAAGGTGTAATCAATCACAGCTGCAGGTTTTAGAATGGGTTCATTTCTCTCTCTATGCTGCCTGCCACTGTCTGCCATTTCATTAGGGTGAATTGATGACAACAGTGTGACATCTCGTTTGTCATGCCACCGAAATGCCATGATGTCATTGGCAGCAAACGCCTGCACCTCACCTCTACGAGTGCCAGCGTCAAACCTGGGCATATGTTTCCGATTTGCACGCACTGTGCCACACACATCTGTCATGTTCACTCGCAAAAAATCACTGAGTGAGGGGCTTGTGTACCAGTTATCTGTATATAATATATGCCCCTTACCAAGGATGGTTCTATCATTGTTCGAACCACATCACCTGAGATGCCCAATAATTTCCCTGGTATTTTGCAATGTATAACTTCCAGTGTACACAATAATATCCAATACCAGACCACTGTAACAATCACAAAGCACAAACAACTTTATACCAAAGCGTTTCCTCTTGCTTGGTATGTACTGCTTGAAAGAGAGTCTTCCTTTGAACAGAATCAAAGACTCGTCAATTACAAGCTTCCTGAAGGGATAAAAATGCGTACTGAATTTCTGTTTCAGATACACAAACACATTCCTAATCTTATATAAACTGTCAGTTCTGTCAGGCCTGGTTTTATCTGAGAAGTGAAGCATACGTAACATTAGCACAAATCAATTCACTGGCATTATATCACTGAAACCTGGTGTTGCAATCAGGGGGTCTGTTGACCAGTATGATTTCACTTTGTGCTTATACACATGTGGCATAAGCATTATTGTGGCAAAGAAAAGATACATCTCAGCCACAGTTGCCTCCTTCCACTGGTGTAGACGTGATTTTGGTGAAAGTAATGTGTTTGCCATGGTGTACTCGTATGTGTTGCTTTCCATCAGTGGTTCGTCAAAGAATAACTCGAAACATTCCAGTTCAGTGGCATTGTTCCCAAGTGCACAAGATGGCCGTATTCCACTTTGGCTGCCATCAAACTGGTGGGGATTTGGAACAAAATTGACAGCTTCCTGCCAATCCCAGGGGGCGGTCTGCTGGTGGTACTGGACAATGACAGGTGGTTGTGGTTGTGGAGGTTGTGGTTGTGGAGGCTGGTGTGGTGGGTGAGTGGGGGATGGTGGCCTTTGTTGTAGATCAGCTGAGGCAGCGGCGTGGGTGGCAGCATGGCCCACTGCTGGTGCCTCACCGCCGGCACCACTACCACCACGCACATTTTCCATCCCAATTGCAACAGTATCTTCGTCATTTTCACTGTCTGTTCCTGTTGTACAGCCACGGGATGTACTCCGAGATACACTCCTTCCCCTTGGTATAACATATGGCACACTACCAGAGCGCATATATCGTCGTATATACTGACGCTTCACTGGGAATATTGCACTTCACTATCACTACTGGAACTAGTTTGAAGAGCTTGTAGTTCATATTCACTATCACTATCATCACCCATGCTCTCATCTGAGTCTGGATTTGGGAAAATAGAAGTTTCCTCTTGGGTTCTGGAACAACTGAACGTGAACAAGAGGGCCCAGCACCAGAGGTGGAAGGCTGAGGGTCATCTGGGTTTTCCTCACTATTACCGATATTATGGTCATTAGTTTCGGTCAAAACCTCACTAAAACCACGAAACTCATCTTCACTGGCACTTCCATCACTATTAGAACTGTCACTGGGGAACAAAAGTGTCCCAATTCGCCGAGGAGTGAGGACCTTCTTACCGCGAGGCATGGTGGACATTGTTTACTAAGAGGGCATTCCCACAATGCACCACTGGGTCCCAGATTTTTTTTCTACTGCGCACACCGACCACACAGACCCATTCTCTCACACCTAGGCCTACCAGCCTTTTCGCGCGAGATTTGAGGCCGCTAGAATTTATGCGTACTAGTACGTCAAAAACCCTACGCGTAAGACGTACTAGTACGACCAAAACCCTCAAAGGGTTAATACTTCTGGGTGTCAGGAACGGATTAATTGTATTTGCATTATTTCTTATGGGGAAAATTGATTCGCAAATCGTAAATTTCGTTTATAGTAACGGCTCCAGGAACGGATTAATTACGAAAAACGAGGGACCACTGTACTTGGTATTACCCGAATGTACTGTAATGAATGAAATAGTATAGGAAAAAATCTCAATTCCTGGCATTCTAATTTGTCAGTCACACCAGGTAGTTTCAAAGGGATGCCTTGATGCCTGTAATTAGAGCTACACTCTTATATCAAGCCTCCCATTCTCCAATATCTCTACAACTCCTGTGGGTTGAGCTCTTCCTCGTTAATGTTATAATCACATCTCGTAAAAAAAAATTTTTTGATCAAACCTACAACTACAAAAAAAAATTTCACCTTGTAGGTAATGTGAGAGGTAAAGGTCTCATATTTGGAATAGAGATAGTGTGGAGCAAGCAGAGCAAAACACCTGCACGAGAGCTAGCTGATCAGATTGTATATAGGTAAGTGGTGCCTTTGTTTTGTTATCCTAGTGATTGTAACTATGTTAGATGTGATAATGTAAATTTCATTTAATGAATAGTTCTTCAAAATTATCTTTGCATTCTTGAATGAATTTGCTTTATTGTATTATTTTCAAAAGAAGAATTAATACAGACGCTAGATGCAAGTTTACATCTTTCAGGAACTCGGCACATTCATGCATATCTGAATCAATAAATGCTTCTTCAAAATATCTGACCCTATCTTAAAACAGCCCCTGGGAAATGAACGTTATCAGGTTTGATCCAAAGGAAAGGATGGCTTTATTTCCTTGGATTGAGAACCCTTCACTGACTTCAGTGTACCCTTCCTCCCACTCCTTGGAGACAATAAAATCTGGTGCTTGTGGTAATAATAACCTTGAGCTAAATCCATAACGGTCATCGAGCTCTGTAAAGTGTGTGCAAGGATAGAGGTTTGTGAAGGTGAGAGTGTTGGCTAGTGGGGCTGGAGTCTGAGAGTGCTAAATCAAAATCAAAGCTGGTGCAATAAATGTGTTTGTCATGGTCAGTGACAAGTAGGGAGTGTCATATCACACTTGGTACCTGAAGTTTACCTGGAGAGGGTTTCAGGGGTCAATGCTCCCACAGCTAAGTCTGAGACCAGGTCTTGTGGTTGATCAGGGTCTGGTCAACCAGGTTGTTACTGCTGGGCCACATGGAAACTGATGTACGAATCACAGCCCGGTTGGTCAGGTACTGACTTTAGGTGCCTGTCCAGTGCCCTCTTGAAGACAGCCAGGGGGTCTATTGGTAATACCCCTTATGTATGCTGGGAGGTAGTTGAACAGTCTTCGGCCCTGGACACTTATTGTGTTGTCTCTGTGTACTCGTGGCACCCCTGCTTTTCATTGGGGGAATGTTGCATCTCCTGCCGAGTCTTTTGCTTTCATAGGGAGTGATTTTCGTGTGCAAGTTTGGTACTAATCCCTCTAGGATTTTCCAAGTGTATATTATCACGCATCTCTCTCCCCTGCACTCCAGGCAGATGAAAGTTCATGCCTATTAACCACTTCTCGTGCCATGTGGCCTTAAAGGGTTCAGTATTTCACATTAATGATAATAAAGAATAAAAGTCACAATAAGCTAGCTGGAAAAATTAAGAACTAAATGACCATTGTACATTTAGCACTTTTTCCCCCTGATTAAAATTGATAAAAAAGTGAGGTGCTTTGATGCCAGTGAGCAGTTCTTGATCTAAGGAATTGGATCTATTTTCCCATGGATGAAATCTGATTTCCTTCCATTCCCCAAGGAGCTCTACAACTTGTGTTGAGTACTTGCCCCATGACTAATAAGGGAACTAGTACATTGTACAATGATTTATTGTATTTAAACTGATTTCTTCTATCTGTTGTGAAGGGTGGTAGCTTGGCCTTAGTCCATATGCTGTAGTTAGAAATGAGGAAATTATATTCAAAGGTGAAGTGCTAAACCTATAGGGGCCATACAACAGTTCGGGAATGGGAAGTAATCGGGTTTGCTTCAAG